AATATGATTGGCTGGTGTCCGTCATAAATATCGACGGACGTGTAGGTACGACAGAGTCAAGAGAGCCTTAGTCTGAGAGCTAAGTCTATAACGACGCCCAGTGGACTATGCCATTGGTCTACACTTCTTACCTGCGACTACCAGTCGATTGCTGCTACCGTATTCTATTTGGTTATAGTAGCCAAAACCACTTAGCTACGTCGTTCAAATATATCCCTTTCCGGGACATATCAGTCATGTACAAGCTCTCATCACTTGTGTGGGTTTTCTGGCGGTTTACCTTGATTCCTTCTTATCCACACAGTTCACTTGCAAGGTCCGCTGGCGTGAGAGTGAAGGCGACGGGGTCAGGTAAAGGATATTACTGGAAGGCTCTAGCTGGAGCAGACCGATGGGTGATGGCCGTTCTTTTACAAACCCATGAGTAATTGTGATGTCCGTGTCCTCTATCGATGACAATCCAGCCCTGTTTAGGATCTGCACTACTTTCCCTATTATGGGGCGGAGGTTATAAAAGGATCCCTAAACCTTTGCTTGCTCACACAGAGATATGGGAGACCGCTGCAGCTGTCTGGCTATCCATAACGCAGTCGAAACAGAAAGAAAGATCAAAAGAAATATAAGAAGAATTTTCATTTTGGATCCTGGAATATTCGCATTCTCCAGGACAGTGATTCTGCACCAGAGCGTAAAACAGCTTCTGTGTCTCTCGAGTTAAAGAATTACGACATCGACATATTAGTGAAACACAATTCTCAGCTTAGGGAAGAAAAAGATGGATACGTGTTCTTATGGGCTGGCAAGACTGATAAAGATCTACGCCTATCTGGTGTTACCTTCGCCATCAGGTCAGACCTTGCTATCACACTGTCTTCCTTACCTAAAGGTGTATCTGATTGCATAATGGCATTAACCCTCAATCTGGAGTGCAACACCCGTGTGATGATGGTTAGCTGCTACGCGCCAACCTTAGGTAGTGTAAAGCAAGAAAAAATAAAGATTTTTACAATCTTCTTTGTCCTTTGTCATCTCCAAAGTCCAACATAAGGCTACGCGTCAACCTTAGGTAGTTCAGATGAAGAAAAATATTTTTACAATCTTCGGGATGTCATGTCCAAAGTCCAACATAAGGATAAATTAGTCCTTACAGGTGACTTCAATGCTCGTGTTGTTAATGTTTATAATTCTTGGAAGGGCGTTTTACGTCACCATGACATTGGTCGTAAGACCACGTGGATGCATCCTCGTTCCAAAGACGGGCATCTGATCGACTAAGTCATCACCAAAAGACGGGACATAAAAGATTTTAAGATAACTCGTTCATTCCACACAACATGCTGTCAGATCACACTCTACTTCGGAGTAAAGCTACACTGCATCTGCAAAAGTGAAGGATTATAAAATCTACAGTGCCCAAGTGCATTAACGCACTGCCTCTTAAATCGACTGAAATGAAAATTGAGCTGTCTGCCAAACTTGATGCTGAACTTGATTCTGTAAACATTACCAATGATATCGAATCATCTTGGAAACTCTGCGTGATGCAACATATTCTACATCCTTGGAGGTTCTCGGCCTGCCACATCGTAAACATTAAGACTGGTTTGATGACAAAAATACAGAAGTTCGGCAGCTTATAGATCAATTGCACTCTTCTCATAAAGCATGGCTTGAGGACAAGAACTCGTCCGCTAAGAAAATCGGTTACTAGAAGTGCAAAAGTCAGGTTCAACGAGCTCTCAGAGCCATGAAAGAGCATTGATGGTCTGAAAAGGTCACTGAACACCAAGAAGCTTCAGATAGAATGGATCTAAAGGCTTTCTATGCTGACCTCAAGAGCATTTTCGGTCCTCAGAAAAGTGGTGTTCCAATTTCCACAGCAGATGGTGAAAATCTCTTTACGGATAAGTCAGACATTTTGGATCGCTGGAAAGAGCATTTGGAAACTGTTAAAAACCATTTGGGTTACTGATGAGGAAGCCATCACATCAATTGTGCAAAATCCAGAAATTCCGGAGTTGTCTTTTCAACCTACTTCTCAAGAGGTAAGTGACTCCATCAAGCAAATCTCATCTGGAAAATCCCCTACTCCTAAGGATCCTATTCCACCCGAAGTGTATAAGCATGGTATCCAAAAATTGGTTGAAAAGTTGCATTTTTCGTGGAGATATGGAAGGCAGGCTATGTCCCACAGGATTATAAAGATGCCTCTATCAAACACCTCTACAAAAACAAGGGTTTCAGGTATGTCTGTGATAATCCTTTCAATTGCATGCAAAATCCCAGTTAGACTGATTCTAAACAATTATTATACACCTTGTTGACGACATCTATCATGAATTGCAGTGTGCTTTTCGGTCGGGTCGTGGCACCATTGACATGATATTTTCTCTTCGTCAAGTTGCAGAGAAAGTTCGAGAGAAAAGCAAGGAGTTGTACTTGGGTGTTTTGTGAACATTCACAGACACAGAGAGTGGCGTCAAGTTTCAGTTTCGAACAACTGGTGGTCTCTTCAATCGGCAGCGCTTCAAAGCCAAGACCCCCCTTCGTACGCAAATTATTCGTGATTTGTTGTTTGCTGATGATGCGGCTCTTGTAGCGACATCCTTTGAGGATGCCCAACATCTAATAAACCGTTTCTCTGCTGCATATAAAGCATTTGGTCTTACACTTAGCATAAAGAAAACTGAAGTAGTGCACCAACCTTGTCCTACTCCGAAGCAATTCTGTGGTGAGAAACAAAAACCACCAATCTACAAATTTCCAGAGAGACCATTGAAAATAGAAGACAAAGCCCTGAACTATATAAAGTTTTTCACCTATCTTGGTAGCAAAATCAAATACAGTGGAACTTTAGATGATGAAATCATGCATCGGATTGCTAAGGCTACCAGTGCTTTCGGCAAACTTCGCCATCGCTTGTGGAATGAGCGGGGTATTCGACTGGATACAAAAATTGGGGTTTACAGAGCTGTTGTCCTTGCCATCCTTTTGTACGGCTCAGAATCGTTGACTCCATACAGGTACCATATACGCAAGCCGGATGTTTTCCATAAAAGCTGTCTGTGTGCAATCTGTGGAGTTAACCTTCAAGATAGGACATCTAACGTAGACCTGTTTAATAGGTTTAATATTGGTGGAATCGAGACCTTTCTCATACAGTCTTAGTTACGGTGGACTGGTCAAATCTTGAGAAAGTCTGATGACAGGATACCCAAGATCCTAATGTACAGCCAGTTAGATCAGGGCTACAGGAATGTAGGATGCCCATGGCTAAGGTACTAAGACAAGATGAAGATCAACTTGTCAGCTGTCAATATACCTCATAACATCCTCGAGCACGTATCCTTGGAGCGGGTAGAATGGAGATCAACGTGTTTTTTAAACTCAGCAGTTTTCAGTCAGCTAGTCTGAATCGTCTTCAAGAAGCAAGAGCAAGATCTAAAAGGTCAGCACATCTAACAGTGATCTCATCTCACAATCCTCACTCTTGCTCCATATGTGGCCTCCTTTGTAAATCACTAGCGAGTCTTAAGTGCCACTTAAGATTATCGCACAAAATTTCATAACTAAATCAAGTGGTTAAGTTGTCAGATCCTCATATATTGAAACCGATGGGAGAGTCCATTAATAATATTATATATATATATATATATATATATATATATATATATATATATATATATATATGATGGACTCTCCTGTCGTTTTCGATGTATGAACGTCTTTCAGTTCAGTTTTTATGTTTAAGTTTCGTATAAGACAACAATCCTACACGGGATTTGCAAACAAATCCATACACAGGGCATACTGAAGGGTTGACCATCATATGGGCTGATATAGTAACCTGAGATTTAGTGTTAATTCTTAATTCTCTCAGATGGTTCAGACGATTCTTTTCAAAGTTAGTTATACCTCGTTAGCAGGTATTTCTCCAGTTTGCTCTGTTTTCAAAGGCAAGTTAGCACGGCACGGGGGGGTCATCGTTATTTTGCGCAAAGCCCATCAATTGTTACACACGCAAAAAACATATGTACACACACACACACACACACACACACACACACACACACACACACACACACATATATATATATATATATATATATATATATATCGATCCTAGATAGAGACAACCGGATGTCTAGCCACACTGATGAATCTGTCTGGGATGACAATATACTGATACGCGTACTGATATCGGCATCGAAGAGGTTTCTTATATATAATACGCCACATATATTTTCAAGAATGCTGATAAAAGAGGATCGTTGAAAAAGTTTAAAATATTAAACAATAAAACAGAATTGCCAATAGAAATGTGTTAAAATATTCTAAAATGATTTGTCATTATCACACAATAAATATCACGAGGAACAGTTGGCCGCCTTAAGTTATACAAATTTGTATAACATGTTTGTTTTTTTTATTGGTAATGTCGTTTGATTGTTTAATATTTCTAAGTTATCAACGATTCTCTTTCAAAAAGGTTGATCGAAAAGTTTGGCCGCTTAAGAGGTAATTATTCCACTGTTTTTCGTTCTCGACAGCCATTTTCAACATGTCTCCGTTTCTTCAAGATACGCTCTACGAGAACTGCCCTCAAAATCCCGGCGCATAGAATTAAACTCCAAATACCGTTGTCTTCGTTCTATCAACTTGAGCAATCCGTCATAAGTGTCAACGAAAGATACATTTTCAGGAATTAAATCGATTCTGTCAAAAAATTCCGGCTTCTGTTCAGCCTTCCTTCATTTTCCATTCTATTGGCACCATTACTGTTCGGCCGGCTGTAATCAGGATGGCGAGGTTTTTTTTTATTTTTATTTTTATTTTTTTTTAACCCGGAGTTGAGAAATTTGGATTTCTTGTGTTTTGTCTTCTCGGAAAATTATTTTTTGCGGAACTATTAGCAATTTGGCTTTCTGAAATCTCAAATGATTTTCTCTTCATTTAAATTTGTTTTGTAATGAGTTAAGTAAAGGGAACATTAAAGTGTTTTAAAAAAGGATAAAAAGAAAGTCTGGGCGAAAGAAAGAAAGATATAAAGATAGGACGAAAGAAAGAAAGAAAGAAAGAAAGAAAGAAAGAAAGAAAGAACTGCATGATAATAGTGAAAAAAAGATAAAGAAAAAAAGGAAAATAGATGGTATTAGAGAAAGAAAGACAGGCAAAAATGATAGTCGGATGAGAAATAAATAAATAAAACAGAAATACGTGATTGTAGTAAAAGAAAGATAGAGAAAGGAAGAAAGAAAAACACATGCGATTGCCGGGAAACAGAAAGAAAGAAAGAAAGAAAGAAAGAAAGAAAGAAAGAAAGAAAGAACGAGCGATATTCGAGTAAGAAAGAAAGTTATGGTAGTGGTAAAAGAGAGAGAAAAAGGAAGTAAGAAAGAAAGAAGCAAATAAAGAAACATGCAATAGTCGGTTAAGAAAGAAAGAAAGAAAGAAAGAAAGAAAGAAAAAAGAAAGAAAGAAAGGAATAATTGATAACAGTAAGAGAGAGAGAGAGAAAGAAAGAAGAGAGTGATAGCTGTAAAAAAGAAAAACATTATAATAAGGTTAAGAAAAATAGGGATAATAGGTAATAACGAAAAATTAAAATGTGATCGTAGGATAAGAAAGAAAGAAAGAAAGAAAGAAAGAAAGAAAGAAAGAAAAAGAAAGAAAGAAAGAAATGATAAACGACAGAAACATTAAAGGAAAAGCTGACATAGAAAGAAAGAAAGAAAGAAAGAAAGAAAGAAAGAAATGAAAGCCGACAGAAATATTAAAAGAGAAAATGGCATGGAAAGAAAGAAAGAAAGAAAGAAAGAAAGAAAGAAAGAAAGAAAGAAAGAAAGAAAAAAAAGAAAGAAAGAAAAAAGAAAGAAAGAAAGAAAGAAAGAAATGAAAACCGACAAAAATATTAAAATAGAAACTGGCATAGAAAGAAAGAAAGAAAAAAGAAAGAAAAAAGAAAGAAAGAAAAAAGAAAGAAAGAAAAAAGAAAGAAAAAAGAAAGAAAGAAAAAAGAAAGAAAGAAACAAAGAAAGAAACAAAGAAAGAAAATGAGGTTCGTTTTTAAATTTAAAGTACTAAATATTAAATTTAAAGTACTAAATATTAAATTGGAATTACTAATGGAAACGAGGTAAAACGTTCTAAATATAGCCTGTCACCTCACTAAATCACCCAAGCAAATAACCTCCCCCTCAAAAAAAAAACGATAAATGAGAAACAGATAACCGTCAGTGATATTCAGTTATTTTAATGAATAAAGATTTTGCTAACAAACAGACGCCCGTCGTCTCGAAATACGAAAAGAATAAAAAAAAAATCTTCAAGCGGAAAGACGGACGCACGGTACATGAAAATATTGAAACAGTTGCAGAAAAAGAGTTGGCAGAGACCCTATAATTAAAAAAATGTATGACGTCATTGGCTATTCATATTCATAAGATGGCATATGCTGCAGATCCTACACTCCAATCTCTGCAAGGTGCATCCAGTTTCATCAGATTCATATTGGAACATAAACGAATAAACGACAGATTTTTTTTTCTTGATAAACAGTATTCTTGTTAATGAAAGAAAAAAAAACATCCCAGTGACAAACAGCAGCAGCTGATTCACTTTATTTCTATATACGCTTTTTTCTTGTTGCCCCAGGACAGAGAGTTAGAAAGTTAGAGAGGGCGAAGATCATCTTCAATGGGTTGGAAAATCATACTGGAATATATATATATATATATATATATATATATATATATATATATATATATATATATATATGTTGAGAAGCTTGATAAGCATGGAATAATAATAATACAACACAAAATGTACGTAAACAAAATGTATTGAAAACAAGGAAAAGGTACACAATATTTACAGTTAGTTTTGGTATATTCTTGGGAAGACTGTTCCTGTAGAATGGGTTGACTTAATCGCAGTCGGGCAGAGTCTCTCGATTCGATCTCTTCTTACTTCTTCCCGGTACCAACCCATATTTATATGGTCGGTACTCCACTATGTAAATTAGGTGGATCGTACCACAACAATATATATATATATATGAACTTTATTTCAATCCTTCATGATATTCCGATCCTTAGCTATGATTAATTAATGATGAACATGTCATTTTTGATCAATTTCATCACAATTCTTCTGTTTAAGTTTGGAAAGAAATTATACATTTTTATTACTCAATAAGTTGGAAAATGATCCTGGAATAATATATATATATGTATTTGAACTTTATTTCAATATTTCATCCTCAGCTATGATTAATTAATGATGAACATGTCATTTTCGTTTAGGATCGATTTCATCAAGATTCTTTTGTTAATCTTGGAGAATAATGATACATTATTATTACTCAAAGTGGAGTTCAACAGTGTTTTAAAAACCTCGGAGAATTCCAGTAAGATATCTTTAATCTTTTCCAAGATACAGCGGTACATGTTAACATTAAAACAGCATAATTGCATATTAGGATTTTTGTTTGTTTTTTCCGTATACTTTTCTTCATATATATATATATATATATATATATATATATATATACAAACATAATATATGCATATATATAAAAAGAGAGACAGAGAGAAGAAACAGAGGGAGAGTCTGAGAGAAAGAGAATTAAAACAATACAAGGTTTGTCGCTTAACTGATTGTGGCTGGCATGTACCACCTTTTCTTATTATTTCAGGACAGATTTAGAATTTAGCATCGTGATGGCGTAAACATCTCCCCCCCCCGCCTTTGAGCGGAGTGAAATGCTTAATACTATGCGCGTTCCACTTGTGGGTGGGGAAGGAATGCAACAGGGCGCTGGCCTAGGTTTGATGTTTATTTTCATGAGAATACAAAATGGTGATTTGGGGTGATTGGAAGTTAGAATTAAATCACGAGAACCCCCCCCCCCGGGGGATATCTTAAATAATTAAGAAAATGAGAAAAGAAACGGCGAATTAAAATTACACTAGCTATATTAAATGGAATTGAAGAGGCAATCAGATAGAATCGAACCCCGAGCAAATTTGGCAAAAAGTCATTAACGTTGGAATTTTGCAAAAGTGGTTTCCTTTCCCTGATAAGGAAAATATTGTCTTCGGATTTCGAGGTGAAATCTAATTTGTGGGGGAACACATTTTTAATATAACGATGCTTAATTATAAGGTATTTTCACTAAAATATGGAGAAATGTTGTTTTGCTGGGGTCATGTGTTTTAGGGGCAATGGAATATAAGATAATCCAAATAAAGGTAAAAATTTTACATACATCAATGGCAGATTTATAAATGGGCAAGATGAATTCTGATCAGAGAAATTGTCTGCCACGACACAGTGAAGCAATCTTCTAAGAAGCAGCTCGGGCAGTTAATTCAATCTAATCACTTTGCTTCATTTGGTGAAAAACAAATCATTTTTAACCGAGAATTAGCTCTATCCGACGGCGTTATTTGGTTTCCCTTATCTATGTCAGCTTCCCAGCTAAGAAATAGACGTTGAGTTCAGAGCGAACCACGGATATAGACAAAGGGAACTGAGAAAACAACACCAAGCAGAAAGGGCAATAAAAATAGAATAGGACCCAAAGAGACAGAAAATGACGACTGACGTTGAATTTGAACTCTTTGCAGATTGCAGCTGACAGGAAAGTAAAAAGCTGGATGATATTTCCAAAAGGCAACAAGTGCGGGAGAAAAATATTCGAATAGAACTTAAGTTACGGTTATAATTAGCAAATTCAACATTAAAAGTATGAGACCTAACTGGCAACCTAGTACTGCATTTAAGTTCATGAAATCGAGTCATTAAGGAGGAAAGCTTATAAGAACGTTTTCTATGAAAATATTTATATAAATGGCAGAGGGAATTTGTTAAGTGATTGACGCTGATATGAAAGGTTCGAACCGATAATATTGCAATTCGAGAGAGTGAGAAAAATTGTAAGAAAGAATGGTGTAATTTTCCCCGACTGACAGAATGTTCACGCCAACTAACACTCTGGTTTATCTAAAATTAACTTGGTTGGCCTATGTCAGTCCTAGTTTTATTTAATCAATAGCTGAGTCTGTCTTTCCTGAAGTGAATTGGCTCCATGAATTCGACACTGCGAAGGTTTTTTTCGTCCATGTCTCTTCTCCAAAACATGGTCTATTAGTGTATTCATTTACGTGCCAGCGGCAATCTGGTTACATTAGACGTAACTCATGAAAAATTGGAATGCAAGGTTGAGAAACACGTACCAGCTTGGATCGGAAACTGCTAATTATGTCAACCAACAACGTTGACGCGAAATATTCCGGCACGATTTATTATTTAGTGCTGCCTTCACAGTCTTTTACAGCCACACAATGTGTGAAACGCCGGTCCCCATAGGATCATACGTTAAGCAATTTCGAGTCTAGTCAGTACCAACACGGGTGACCATTTGGGAATAACAGGTGCTTGGATATGTGGAGGGTGTAATGGATAATGGCTGGGAAGTGTTAATCGGAGAACCAAGTCGGGTTCGTCAGATTCACTTACGCCGGAATTCCCTTTAGCAAGGCATGTATTTTCTTTTGATTTTACGATATTCTTGTGTACGTTTGTTTGGAAGGGCAGTAATTTTGTTAAGAAAGGTGAAATAGGGAAAAGAAAATGTTTGGATCCGCAACGCAGCTATAATGACAATATTCTTCACACGTGACAATAACTGACGTTATTTTCAGTTAACAATATGAAAATAGCGTTCTCTACATTCCTCCGTGGCTAAGAACATTTTGTTTTTTGTTATTATTAGTTACTTTCCTTAATTTAATTCGTTTCGTTTTTTGCTTTGAGAAAGTCCACATTGGATGAAATGCGTCAGCAATAACTACAGTTTTCCTATTGTCATTTATATTTATAAATATAAATATATATATATATGTATATATGTTTATGTAAGTATATATATATATATATGTGTATGTGTATGTATATATATATATATGTATGTGTATGTATGTATGTATATATATGTATGTGTATGTATGTCTGTATATATATTTATATATTTTATATATATATATATGTATATTAACCATTAATATTATCAATATATATATATATATATATATATATATATATATATATATATATCAGTGTGTGTGCGTGTGTGTGAATATTAATCCTCTATAATTCCTTTCGAACCTGAATGCAAAGGTTTCAATCGTGTCTTCTGTTAAGTGTAGATTTCATTTTGCAATCTCGATGTTTTATTCATTTCCTTTAAGCGATTTAGATTCCCGGTTTTCTAGTTTGTTTTTAAGTCATTCCTCCACAAAAAGAAAAGATCTTTTTTTCAAGATTACTTGTAGCAACGAGTAAAGAAGATACTTTCGGTTTTATGGTCATAAGAAACAAAATGGCGCAATCGAGATGCCATGAAATCGAGGTCTTTCTTTGCTGAAAGTAAAAAAAGAAAAGAAAAAAAAAGGGCGTTCAGGAATATATATATATATAGAATAATTTTAAAGATAGTTGGTGGCAGCATAAGTGCTCTTTCAACAATATAAATAAAAGAAATCAGGCTTCCCTATCTAAATATTTTTGGCAACTGAAGGAAACAAATAGGACACAAAGTAAAATGGAAAATTATAAACAGGGCTAGAACATGTAAAACATGTGCCTACATGAGAAATTGCACATTATTAAGCTTCTAAATATTAATAATCTATTAAACAATAGACATGAGTTAACGGTTTTCTGTCGACATCATCAGATTTATGGTTTGAATTATTAGCTAAAAACAAGCATACAATATAATAACTTGATTAATCCATAGCCCAATCATCAGATTCATGGTCTGAATAATTAGCTAAGAACAAGCACACAATATAATAACTTTCATAATCCATAGCCCAAATAAATAGTTTAAATAACCTACAAAAAAGATAACCCTTTATGAAGTCATCAAAAAACAAACGTTACGGCAGTTTTTTATATGCACAAATCCCTTTCATAAAAAAATAAAATAAAAAAATAAATAAATCTCCATAGACACGCATGCCAGACTAGGGTTAATACATCTTCCGTTTCAAATTTAGACACCCACCACCTTTCCCTGACTTGACATCCAACTCTATATTGATACTTATTATTAACACCCAACACTCGCCTACACAATTTAAACAATTCGCCCTAGCTGTTACCATGGAAATTTTGATTTCAATTATTAAAACACATAAATTTCAGAAATACGTTATTCCAAAAAAAATTCACTTGAAGATGGAACAGAGCTTACTTTAACTCAATTTAATTCAAATAATTATATTGAAGTTTTTCGGCTCTTGTTTTGAAACATGAGACTTCTTATGTCGCGAGTTGGAATCATATTTTTAAATAAATAATTATATATATATATATATATATATATATATATATATATATATATATATATGAAATATGCATATTATCCATCACTGATAGAACTACTCTGAGTTTCATGCACAATGCAATCTTCAGGTACTGAGTATAGACTGACCGTTACGAAATTTAAATTTTAATAGAAATATCTGGTTATTGCAATGTTTGTGCAGTTATATACTATACGGAGATTATTGTTTTTTTAATTTTTAATAATATATTAGGCATTTAAAATAAATTGGTTATATATATATATATATATATATATATATACTTTACAGTTGTGAATTTTAATTGCTTATATTAAGCATAAATGGGGACAACTTGTTTTTTTTTTTTAAAATAACAAACCATAATTTAAATTAAACAATAGTCTGGATCAACTTATTTGAGCAGGTATTTAATTTTGTGCCTACATGTAACCATCAATTAATTTCTCTTATTTTTAATAAGATAGGGTTATTTAAGTGTTTTGTTTGACCGGTTTTAATTTTTCAAGCAGACATAAATTACATCTATTGCCTTTCCAATTGTAAGATTTAGCTGTCGCTACAATATCCAAATTGATAATAGGTGTATTTACTATCATTCTTTAATTGCCAGAAATATTTAGAGAGAGCGGTGCTGTTTATGTATTTCATATTGGTATGATGTTTGCTTGACAACATAACTGTCAGGGTTTCAATTCTCGGTAGTGGATGCACACTGCTGATGAGTCCCAAATATAGGACGAAACGGCCGTCCAGTGCTTTCTGCATTCTGTTGAGGTTTCTATCAGACTCGATGAAGTAATTTTATATATATAAATATATATATAATATTAGTGGTCAATATATCTATATCTATATATCTATCTATCTATCTATCTATATATATATATATATATATATATATATATATATATATAAATTGCCAAGAGGGTAGAATCCAGGTAGAACTGAATGTCCAAGACAGAGTAAGAATATATAAAAGGCTGAATTTAAATTTTGTAAGTCTGATGATTTGGATCGTGATTACGATTACAATGTAATAAATTATAACCATGGAATATTAGTGTTTGAGCCTTATATATATATATATATATATATATGTGTGTGTGTGTGTGTGTGTGTGTGTGTGTGTGTGTGTGTGCTACTAAAAAGGTTTTTAATAGCATCGTGAACTCCCACCTGATGAAACATTAAAAAACGTTGAAACAAGATGTACAGATTTGTAGTGGGTATGTACATGTAATGTAACAATATATATATATATATATAACTTTTACAAAATTTGGTGGCGGGTTCTTCACCAAAACAAGTACAAAAGTCCATATAAACATATTTGGGCAAATCCTTCGTTTTTCAGTTTATGTTAGATCACCCTCCGTTATTTATGTCACTCGTGTATACCCGACAATTCAAATAGAAACAAGGATATTTTCATTCATAACGGATTCGGAGGTTTTTGTATATTATTTGA